TCCGTATTTAGGAGAACTCTATTTGGTGTGAACCGCATCCTAGAATCTATATAACCTAAATAATAATCATTTATAAATCTACTGAATAAAAAGGGCCCCAAAATGGAGCCTTGGGGGACCCCAGTGTTCACCGATCTTACCTCAGGAAGCTCTCCATTGAGTTCAACATATTGGGTGTGAATAGTGAGGTACGATTCAGTTAATTTTAGTGTTACTCATCGTATACCATACCGAAAAAATTTGTTTCAACCTCAAGATGTGAAGAACGCAGTCGAAAACCTTAGAGAATTCGCAGAGCGCTCTCCCCCTTTGAGGGCGCTGACAACTTCCCCCATAGCCTTAGGAGGAGCATACACAGAACCGAAATTGGGATGTTATATTGTCCAAAAAATTGTGTTTTAAAATGCGCTCCATTATCTTGACAAAAATTGGAACTATCCTAATATGTAGATAATTTTTTATGCAATACAAAGGATTTATTTGTGATCACTGTTAAAAATTTCACAATTATATCAATAGTATTTTGAAGTATTCTACGATGTAATAGTTCATTACGGAGGAGTTATTGCTCTTTGGAATAACTCATGAGATTTATTCTTTAAACACTGGATTCAAAAAAATGTTTTTGTCGCAAATAGCACATCGCAAAATGGAAAAAAAAATTAACTCATCCGACGCGAGTGTGGGTTCTTAAAGCGAAAAATGAATTTTTCCCAAAGATATTAGAAAATACCATTCTCAAGAAATTTGCACAAAAAAGAATCTAAATGGAATTTCAGTCTGTTATGCATATTAATAACGCATGTAAAGTTTTGAATTGTCTGTCTTGTCTTTTGAATGGATATCAAGACATGGGCCATAGGCAATATCAGCGTAATTAGTGACTGACTGAGTATATTTTTTTGTATTAGAAATATCAGAACTTATTCCGAAGTTTATATTCTGATACAGCGACGCTATATAGAGAGAGATAAGGAAGGGGATAGATTTAATTATGTTATATATCAAAACCCCGGTTATGGTTTAAACTTTCATAATTTATCAAGGCTGGCTTTTTGTGTTAAACGAGGCAAACGTTCGTTATTCTTTTTTTTTTTACTTTAATTACGTCGCTGCTAGACGGTGCACTGGCGTAGCAAGCCCGGGTTCTATAGTAACTACTCGCGATAAAAAGTCTATTAGTTTGAATTACTGTTTTATCATTTTTAGAAATGCCTCTAGTCCTATTTATAATTTGAAATTAGAAAAGCACCATTGTTTTTTAACGAAAATGGATATGTTTTTACTGGAAAGTTATCAATAAGTTCTTTTAATTATGGATACATTGTTCTAATTACTCTAGCATAACAATTCGTAGTTTATTAAAAACCACACCCCACATTTTGATTTGATTTGATTGATTTTGTAATGCAATTTTGTGAATAAACTGAACGTTCTCTTATTACTCTCCAATAAAAAATTGGTCGTTAAGGAGGGATGGTCGCTTAATAGAAAAACACAGAAATTACAGCAAGCGCTGCCATTTTGCATTAACATTTGTTGTTTGTTCATAATTTTAATTGAAACTTACTAAAAATAACTTATACTAAATTCTCTCGATATATACATAATATTAAAATTTCTTTTTATTCTTCAACCTTGCATATGTATATAATGATTGAGTTGTTCTTGAGTTGAGGTTGACCAATAACAGCAAAATGCTTTAAATTTTTATCGTAATCAAGAATCTAAAATACATACATATATTATATAAATTAAATATTTTATAATAAAATATTTGCATACCTTAGTAAATAACCGACACGATAATTTTGTGCCTGACAACACTATTATTACAAGAAAGTGGATTTCATTTTTAATTTACAATTTACGGCATTTATTTCCTTTTTAATATAAATCATTTCAGTTTTTCTCAATTTTTAATAAAAATTATCTTTTTCTAAAAGTTGGATTGTCATTCCAGTATATTTTTTGGGCAATTTAAACAACGTATTGAATATATAACGTTTGATTTGTGTTTACCTGCAATTTTTGGTTTTAATGGAGTAAAAATAGATTTTATTGATTTGCATAATTTGTGGTAAACTGCGGTATTATGTTTGGAAAGAACATGTTTAATTTTTTAGATAAATTATTTCTTATGGTATTCCATATTTTATTTTTATTATAAAAAAAAACATGTCATTGTCATACTTTCGATTTATCACTTAAGTTTTTAAAATGTTACGTAAATTTTTTAATATTTTTATTTTGTCGGTTTTGAATTACGAAACAAAAAAGTATTATTATTTTTTAATCGAATGTTTGGTGCAAAAATGTTCCAATATAAATAGAAAAACATATATACAATATTAATTTTTGGTTAGTGGACGTATGGTGTTTGCCAAATGCTGTAATGAAAAATTCTAAATGATATTGCGAAAGCACCGTTGAGGCTCTTGGTACCTCTCTTTTTTCTCCACTTAGCCGCACAGCTTTACCATTTCACGTTACGATTATTTTCTTCTTTTTTTTCTGCTGCCAGCAGAGCCTCTTTCTCGCCAAAACATATAACATTAAAAAGACACGTCACTGCTGTATATCTAGAAAATATCATTTCATCTCACAGTGCGTTGGTTTACAGCAAGATGAAAGAAATTTGAAATGTTTAAGTTTGAAGTTATCTTACTAGTTATTTATTCTCTGCGATGTCATGCTTATAAAATTGACGCAAGATTTGAATTTGATGCCGTTTTGGTAGTAAATTGTTACTAATCAAAAAAGAAAACAGTTTGACGGATGATTGTTTAGGGATGGTATAAATGGATACACGATAGAACATGTTTTCATTGTTAAACAATATTTCGAAAATTTTATAGAAAATATGGTATCACTGGTGATGCTAAACACACTGATCATTCAAAAATGGAAATGTCAATACTGCATCAGTGCGTAAGAGTTTGTGAAAGTCTAGGGACATTAATTCGGCACCGTGAATAAGAATTGGCAATTTCAAGAAGATCTCTACAGCGTATATTCACTGAACATCTCAGTCTCCATGCTTAGAGAGTTTAATTGACACAAGAATTGAAGCGTAATGACCACACAGCGAAGAAAGTTCGTTGAATGGATTGATGAGCATCAAAATCATTTTTAGCGACGAAGAGCATTTCCACATTTCCACTTTGTGATTATTGAAAAACAAATGCATCCGCAACGTGTCACCGTTTGTGTGGATTTTGGGCTGGAGGCAACATTGGACCATGCTTTCTGGAAAATTAAAACTATCCAAGTAATTAATATGTGATTGCCATGTCTGCTTACATATATGGTTTCAACGCGATGGTATCATATGAGACATTTCCTGGTCGTGTACTTTCCCGTTGCGATTATAAAAATTGACCCCCGGGATCTGACATCGTTCGATTTCTTTTTATGGGGTTATTTGAAATCATAAATCTATGCCATCAATTCCTCAACCACGCATGCATTGAAGCAGGAAATTCAACACTGCATAAGCGATATTTTCCACAAAAGAGTTAATAGCAAAGCCCTGGAGGCCATTTGCCGATGTGTTGTTATACACAACCCTATCCCGTGTACTCTACGATTCAATAAAAAAAATTATAATTTAAAGAAAAAACTGTGTTTTTTATTTAATTCAAATCTTGCGTTATAACCCTTCAAATATTGTTGCAACACCATCTACTGAATTGAATAAGCTCTAGTACAGATTAACGATTATTTGGAGTGGCCTTTTCTATTTACTACTGGGACTGTAAATTTTACAAATAAAAAATTAGATTTAGTGAATTTAATTATTTCACATATTTACCGTTACCTATTGTACAAAGTTTATTCATTGAAAGATATCAATTATTTTCCGATATTTTACTGAAATACTAATTAACAATAGGCGACTTGAAATCTGAGAATAATTTATACGTTAACTAACCTTTAGAATGACGGAATGAACTTGAAACAACTTATTCGCATATTTCAACATATCTCGACAAGTATATTATTTCAAGCTATATGTCTATTAATAAGCAGTAAATCGAAGGTTTAAAACGCATTGCATCTTGATTACGGGTTCTCAAACTCTTGTTTTAATTTTCTCTAAAACTGTTACCATAATTTTTACTCTACCTAATTAATAATAACTGTAATTTTTAAATTATTCCAGAAACTACTAATTTTGCTAACGACATAATTAAATAGTTTATGGCGTCATAACCGTTCTTCTAATTATTTGCAATAACCTAGTTTGCAACGGTTATGTGAAGATACTCGTACTTTCAAGTTTATATACCGATATTTATTTTATTGATATATTAAATGAGACACCCCGTATATTATTAGATATCTCGTTCCGCCATCTATTTCCGATTAGTTTTGTACATTACCTTTCTATGGAATGATGTAATTTTTGGATATTTTTGTTTAATTGTTCAGTGTATGTCAACTGACGTAGACAAAATTAAAAAAAAATCGTGGTCGTGTTTTTATAACAGTTAATGTCGGTTTGGGTTTTGTGTTTTTCAGAATATATTCATCAAAACTGACATTGATTTTTAACTTTTGCAAATGCCGCAAAGATATATTTAGCTAATATTTGTGAATATCTTGACCTTGAATATCTCTTTATATGTTTAGATTAGGGATCATTGCTAAAATATAAATATGAAATGCGTTATTTGAAATCAGCGTGACGTAATTTCAGAAACAAAAAGAAATTTCAAAACTATATTTATTAGTGGTTTACATCGCAATCTAAAATTGCACTAGACAATGCACCGGGTATTCACTTTGCGCTTAATTCTTTTCAACTTATTTAAATCTAAACAGCACTAACTTATATCCAGATGACATTATAGTTAGTTCTTGTTTCTGAACCATCAAGCATCATCTCAAATATCTGAAAATACCAATACCTGGGTTTCACTTTGTCTGATTTTGAAATGAATTTATTTTGTTTTGAGTTTCCACAATTTTTTGAGTGAATTTTTTTGTTGTTTTAGCATCCAGGTGGAGAAGAAGTTCTGTTGGAACAAGCAGGCAAGGACGCTAGTGAAAACTTCGAAGACGTCGGCCATTCCAGCGATGCCCGCGAATTGATGGTAAAATATAAAATTGGTACCCTGGTAGCTTCCGAACGCAAACCGGAAATACGGAAGAAGGCAGATCCGGCTTCTTGGGGCGAAAATACTGATTCCTCACAAAGGTTGGTTTAAGTTGATTTAATGTTTGTTTCGTAGTGCCTTCCGCCTAGATCAATTTGTAGTTGAGTAGATTTCCTCGGTACTTTTTGCAACATATAGATGTGCTAAAAGGGCAGATGATTTTATTAGTCTTTTACTTATTTTCTATCCTTTTGTTATCAAGGATATGTCTATAATATCTTAAAAAAAAACGATATTGCTGAACTGTCTTTAGAAGTTATACATTTGTTAGATTTATTTAATCATGGAAGAGTTATATTCAGTTAATATTGTTTTTTTTTAATAAAATATTAAATAAATTGGTTAAGGCTTTCGCGGCCCGTTGATAAGCTATTATCTTCATTCGGGTTTAAAGCCGTCGTCGATTGGAATTACTTCCTAACGTTTCGCTAGCACGAGTGGCGAGCTTCTTTAGAGGTCAGTCTACGTCCAACATCGGAGATGGAAGGACCTTTGAAGAAGCTCGCCACTCGTGCTAGCGAAACGTTAGGAAGTAATTCCATTCGACGACGGCCTTTAAACCCGAATGAAGATAATAAAATATTTTGCATTACCCCGAGATAAATTTATTATCATCCTGAAAAATTTTTTGGTGTTTCAAATTTATCATTTATCTTCAAATCGATATATTTAAGGGTTTGTTTTTCAACGAATTTGAATACACATATAGGACGTAGCAGAAAAAATTTTCAAAATATACTCATCGAAAGGTGCATATTTTATTGTATGAAAAATTGTGGACATTAATGCTATTTTAGATAAAGCCATAACTATTTCTTCATAATTAAACTCGTTCTTCGGAAATCCTATATTTTTTTAGCTATAATATAGACTTAATTGAATAAATATTAATGAAACAAAAAAAATCTTAAGTTTTTTATCTACACGCTATTTTTCGCTTTTTCTTTAAGACAGTGTTGTATTTTTAACTAGTTTATTGAGTCAGGAAACAATTTGACAATAATTTTATTTACATATTGGCATAAGCCGTTTTTTGACTTTGTTGTTGCGTCTTTTTGCTATACAAAATGGAACCTTCTATTTCATCTGTTGAGAAATGCGATATGCTAAAATGTTAATGCCATAGTAACGCTGTTGAAGCTGGGCGTTTATATTTAAATAAGTACCCAGAGCGAAGACAACTGAGTACCCACCACACGAGAATATCTTCAAATCTAGAAAAAGTAAATAATAATAGTTACCTGTAACTTAAAATCCGCAAACACCTCTTAGAAAAGTGACCATTCAACTAGAAAAATTTCAGCAGTTCAAATTTAAAATTTTGCGAATGGTATACTAGGAAGTTTCATAAGATTATTTGGTCGGACGAGCGTGTGGTAACAAATAATTGAATTTTTATTTTTTATTGGGAAAGAGATCTCCGAGGACACTTTTGGAACACATTTAATAAGCTCTTTTTCTAATAATGTTTCTCATAACTCTGAGCGTTACCGCAACGTCCTGCAAAAATTATTTTTACCATCGGCTTTTTGAGACTGATTTTCGACTGAGAAAACTAGTTCCTTGAAGCCTTTTAAAACATAACCACTGATATGTTAACAAATGTTTTAACTTCTTCAGTTACAAGATGTTATCTGTGGCTGTAAAATAATGGTCGCTTATTTGAACGTTTTTTACAATTTAATTTTCCCTTGTAGTAAATTCGTTACCAATAATTTATTTAATGCATTAACGTGTAAACTACCTACCCATTTAGCTATAATTTAATCTTTTCCCCCCTTTTTTAGTTTTCTCGCTAGCGCATTATTAATTAATTGTTAAAAATTTTACAACTTTTTTCTAATTTAATTATCTTCGAATCTCTCATGCTTTCCAATATACCCATGATAGACATCCTTATCTTGGGCACACTGCATAAGTATAGCCTAGAGAAAGTCCTTTTTAACTACTCCAAGTTTTTTAAAAATGCGTTAAGCTTCTTGGGACATATGGGCATTTAAGGAAATATTCCCACCCTTACCACGTTCCTTGCTGAAATCGGGCGTAAAACCTTAAACTGAAAATATTTGAATTTGACTCATCTCTAAAATTACTGTGACTATGAATTAAATAGAATTTTTTTTAGAAACCGTGTTTTAAAATCCAAGATAGCAATGACGCAATCTGGAGGTCATTTCAGAAACTCGAAAAAGTATTTCCAGCGTTTTTATTTTCCCAGTTTACATAATAATTTTTGTTTAAAATTTCTCGGAACATCCGTTTTCCTAATACCCTACTTTCTCGCCCTTACCCCTGTATATTTCCATGCTTTTGAAAGTAATCGTCATTTACCACGATTTTTTATTTGCCTATTAAAAAATACCATCTATCAAAATTACATGGTCTTGAACGTCGGTGTAAATTGAGCCTTACCTGAAGAAAATCCCTAGTATTTGCTATATTTTTTCGTCTTAAATAAGACCACAGCGTGCCGTGTGATGATAATTTTGAAAATATTATGAAATGCTTGGTTATTGATGATTTTGGCAGGCTCAGTTAATATGTTTTTTTTTGTGTTTCAGCTCATTTAAATCATGGATTTTACCGATCGCCTTAGGATTGTTAGCAACTGTGGTATATCGCGTCTATTTTATGTCATAGATACATTACAAATTTAAGGTTCTAGGGACTAACTAACATAAGCATCAAGTTAAAATATTTCTAAATGGTTCTTTTCAGCTCTATTAGTATAAATGTTATGTTAGTACTACTGTTAAATGCGTCTGTACGAGTTAGGAAAATAAAATTCCAACTTTAGAATAATGTGTTTTTATTTCTGTGTTTGTTCAGTCATTCCTTATAAAATATATACTTGTCATTGTTCTTTCCGACAGTCATTCGGCATCATTCGCACAACTTTGTCGATTACACAAAAACTACAAAACACGAAGTGTATAAAGGTATCAGCGTCTGTGAAGTCTTTTTAAACAAAATATATATCAAAAGGTACAAAAACTCTTAAGTAAGTCTAAACACTATTCAACATAATTATTTAACAAATACAGATAGGTACGTTTAAATTATAAGAAATCTATTCACATATTATTACTATTTTAGAAATTCGATATTTATAATTACGAGAAAAAAATATGTAATACTTATCGGGCCTCTCAAATAAGCAGCTGTTGCTAGAACAATTGTCCAAATAATTTGTTACCAAGAAGTATTAGGTTCCACAATCGATTTATTTTTGAACTGCTTCCTCTATTTATATTAAACATTTTTGCGTTCTGACAGTTGAATGAGTATTGTGAAATATCGAATCTCCTCAGTATTTGTTATTTATATTACAGATAATAATTATAGGTAGAGATAAATTAACAACTATGGTAGTGTCTACTGTTAAATATTTCACTAGATTATGATTGTGCCACTTGAGCATTTTAGATTGACCAGAATTTACTTATTCATTGACCTTCGCTGTCACTATCGCTTTTATCTGAAAAAAAAAAGACAAATTAGCTAGTTAGCCACAAAGAAATGTTCGTTAGAACAAACGAATGAGATGATTATCTATGTATTTATTTATACATGGTTATTCACGCTATTTGGCATCGAATATTGTGGCAAAATTATAAGTTTACTGTTGGGATGTGTTGTATAATGTATATAGTTTTTTACGAATATAGTAAGCAACCGTCTCAATAATGTTTATGGTAACTAACCGTTAAGGATTTTTTAAAAAATTGAATTTGTTAAAGAAACTTGCAGTTGATGAATCGAACTTGCTAATGTTTTACTAATACAACTAAAACTGTAATCTACTAAACTAACTAACTAACTTATACAGGGCGACAACGAAACTACTATCAAAACCGTTTGAGATAAAAAATATGGTTAATGCTTTGTTTCTTAGTTTTTGTAATATTTTTATGTAATATTTTGTATGTTATTTCTTATGTAATATATTTATGCAAGGACTATACTTACAGTAGTTATTCTGTTTGCAATACTTTTCAAGTGCTCGATATTAAAAGTGTGAAACATTGCTTCTAGTTGTAACGACTATAATGTTGCATGTTAATATTAAAACAAACAATGGCCAGAATATATATTGCATAAAAGATCCTCAAAACTATGAAAAGACAGTAAAATTAGAACTAAGGGGCCTGGATATATTTCACAAGATAATAGTATTATTTTGTACTTCAATTTTTACCACTGATTTAATATGATTTTGATATTTGCAATACTTGGAGGACAACCTTTATAGCATAAAGGTAATTTTCAAAAGTAACCATAATAACCACATATCTCAGAAGTAAAACTTTTTGTAAACACTGAATATTACAAACAATATTCTGTACTTGGATAACCCTGTTAAGTTGAATATTAAAATATTGGAGTTGTAAGGCAAAAGCCTCTCATATGGAATGATTTTTTTTTCATCAGTATTACTATTTCCGTGTCATCATAAGAGCTTATCAGACCTTATGAAAAAGTTTAATGTTTTAAAGTACGTTTTTAATGTTAAAATGATACTTTCTGAAACTAGTGGAAAATAGCCTAATATCGCATAATTGCCTAATGATGAATCCCATTACATTTCTTCAAATGCATTTCTGTGGAAATCACGATAACAATTTCTGATAAAATTTCAGATACCTACAAATTCTTAGTTTGCGCTTCTTTGCTGTGAATGAAATTCTGTGTAGTCATAATTTTAACATTTTCACAATTTCAGGCTCTTTATATGTATATCCATATCCGATATTGTGATTGGATTAATTGGATTAATTTCCGAAAAATGCGTTGAAATATTGTTTTAGAAAATGCGGCATTTTTTCCCCATAATAAGTATGATTTTGAAAGCACTAACAGGGCTTCAAGAAGGAAGCGATAATGATGTAGCTTTGATACATAGTTTCAAGTTTTAACTCCAAGAGGCGTAAATCAAAAATAGTTCAAAAACCTTCATGAGACCAAAGGACTTAAGAAATAAAAATAGAGGTTGAAAAGAATCCAAAGAATAATTTTAAAGCAAAGGAAATCGGGAAGAGGTTAAACGAGTTTCAAGCTCTTCTAGATCTAGATGTTGACACCGAAACTATTAATGCAATTAATAGATTAATAGATAGCGAAGATGATATGAATACAAAGGAATAAAAAAAATGTGATTTATTTATTGTTAATTTTCTTATGCAAAAAAATGTAGAATACCAGAAAACTGCCCATATGTCAATTTATCATATCAGAGCAACAAGTGTCTGCAAATGAAGTAAATATAAATAGTATTTAGTTATGGAATTTCCAAATCGTCTTACATGTCATTTAACTGCTGAAGAGGCCATTACCGCAGTCGGTCTATTGAGGAGGCTAAGGTACGTGGCAAACTTGCTGAATATCCAGCAAAACACCATCTCTAGAGTTGTAAATCGATACAGAGAAGCTTGGACAGTGGGCTAGAAGGGAAGGACAGGATTGCCACAGCATTAAATTTCGAGCTGATGATCGAATTTAGAAGATAATAGGAGTCCAGATTTTGTTTACCTGCCTCAGACAGTTTGTGTATAGACGACCTGGAAAACGTCATTACCCCTACAATTTATTCGGAGGTAGTTTTGGTGGAGGTTGAACTATGTTCTGGTGAGTCAAATATTATGATGGATGTGATTTGTTTTGCATAACTTTTCACCCAAGACATTACAAACGGTTCCCACAATATACTAATTGTTATAAAAAAAAAATCAGTTATCAAGGTTTGCCAATATGTAATACGTAAGTATTGTTTGTTAAATAGAACAAAAAAGAATATAAAGATTGAAATATGTGATACAGTTGGAGAACGTCGTCGTCGTCATGATATAAAAAATAAGTTAAGAAGAGGTCAGCCGTTTTCCCTAGAAAGAATGAAATATTCATTCATGTGAGAGCTTGAGATATATCAGAAGGGTGTCGATTTGAAAAATCCCATTATTTGAAAAAGTGTCAAATGGACAAAAGAGGCTTTTGTGTTTGTAATGAAGTCTGCATTACTTAATTCGTCTGTGATATATGTGAAACCGAACTGAACAATGAAAATAAACTATACTTCTTATTTACTACAAGTTGCTAAAGGTTGGGTAGAAAATCAAGGTAATGTTAGTTCAGCAGTTTGTGGAGGCTCATCAAAAAGAACCTCTTGTAAAGATGCACCAGCTAGGCTTTCAGGAGTTATAAAAACGCATAGGCTGGTAAAATTTCAAGAATTTGGGAAAAACAGTTTCCACAGAAACGTAGCAAAGTTTGCAAAAGAAATGGAACCTGTTTCATGAGCAGACATTGTGAGATTCCTTTATTTATTGGAAAATATTTTTTGAGGAGTGTCATTAAAAAAAAAAAAAACTAGAAATCCAATTATCAAATTAGGTACTGTTTAGAGTTGCTATAGTTTTATTTGAATAAACGTATTACTAATTTGTTTATATTTATTTTGTTTATACTTGTTTAACATTTAAAAAATGAATGGTATTAATTTAAACGCACATACTATGCATCTAAACGTTCGAAATGAAAATAAGGCGCGGCTCAGCGGCTGGCGGATTAATAATTTTTAGCGGCCACTAAAGTTTTCAAGAACAATGATATTATTTTGCACCAAATTATTAATGCGACAAATTCTGGCAAATGTTTTCTTTTTACTGAAAGGAATTTATACGATAATCTCATCTGTCAAAAAAAAGTTTTTGTATGCACCTATATTGCAAATGCCAACAAATATTATACCAGGATTACTCAAATAGTAATAATTATAAAAGTTGTCCTTATTTCCTTTTGATTAGTTTATATGAATACGAAATGAAAAATATGTAAAATTGGAATTTATCGCTCACCTTTTTTTCCTGGGTACGCATGTCTCTTTAATCTGTCATACAAATCATCTTTTGTACCGTATAAACTCGCATTCGATCGGGCCAAGCTGTTCATTTTGCCGTTGGCCCCGTTATGAAGACTTTCCTTCATGTAAGTTTCGTTATAGAAGTTCGGCATCTCCCAGCCGTCTTCCTCATCGTCGTAGTAGTGAGCATACGTCGAGTGGTGGCTCGGTGCGATGGACTCGGCGTACGGAGTCGGAGCTCCGTAGTAGAAATTGACTTGAGAACCGTTTTGGTCGGTGGCTGGAGTTAGAAGTTTCTTTGGTTCCTTTCTACGATTGGCTCTGAAACGGAAATTACACGTCTTTATACTATCTTGACTGATTTTAAAAATTTTACTTCAAATATGTTAAATACTTCAACCGGAGTACCCCAGGGTTATATCCTGGTTCCGATATTCTTTATGAGTAGAGAGTAGGGTTGCTATTTGTTCTTTAATGTTGTTGAAGTTTTCAGTGATTCATTAAAAACCAGTTTTTTGGGAATTATACAGAGTACGACAAAAAATAGATGTCCTTTCGAATAACCGAAACAAACTAAGAATTCCTAGCAAACATCAGGTTTAATTAATTTTGGAAGCCTGGAAAACGGTAATGGTACATTTTAAAGTTCATAAAGGATTCTAACAGACAATTCTAATTTGTGCAAATGACTTTGGATAAACCGTGGCTTATAATAATAAATAATATAAAATAAATAAATAATAATAATAAAATAATAAATAATAAAATAAGGAAATTTAATTTTTCTACTTTCCTCTGTAATTTTCATAATTACATACCGATCTAGCGTGCGGTCGTTTCGTTTCTCCGCACAGGTTTGAGAGCAATCGGATGTTTTCGGAGATATTTACCACGCCTTGAATTTTGACGTTTGTCAATTCTGACGGCCATGTAAGTAAATGTATTCGTGTTGTTTTGCGAAAATGCACCCAAAAACTAACGGTCGTAGAAAAAGTATAGTATGCAACACGTTTGGCCCACGGAAATGAATCTCGGAGAATTGAAATTTTAACTTTTATTCGATATGGAGACAAAACGAGAACTCGAGAAGTTTGTAATTTGTTTAACGCAAAATATCCAGAACGACCCATTACAAAATTCGCAGTGAGTACAGGTAAGAGAAAATTTTGTAGAAACAACAGGGAATGTCAAAGAATTTATTTTATTAGATGCGCACCATTAATTTCTTGACAATGCGATATTTTTATTAAATTGCCCTATTTTGAATCTGATTTAAAATTTAATCACCTTAATCTTGCGGTTTTTTCCTTATATGCTTTTGATTTTAAATAACCCCAGAAGATCTTCGTAATTACTATCCGGAGATCTTACTATTGATCGCTTTCTATCAATGCACTGTCCGGAAAATATCGTATTTAAATATTCACGTACGTTCATTTCAAAATCAAATTTCCATTTTTTATTCTTTTGCTCATAAAAAGTAGGAAATAGGTATTGGGTATGCTATATGAATAATATGGAAAATTTGACGCAGATTTTGAAATGGATATAGGTATCTACTTTTTGACTCACATGTATAAATTCAATACCTGATTTTGAAATAAATTTGTTCCATATTTCACTCGCAACAGCTTTATGGAGAAAAATATAGAATATTTTGAGCATTCATATTTTACGATGAATGTATGGGCTGGGCCGTTTATCTTGGGACACTGTCTTATCCCAGAAACCATAACGGATAAGTTAATTGGGGTATTACAAACCTTCAATTTATTTTAATGTTGTATATACAGGGAGTTTCTTTTTCGTGGGCGAGTATCAGCTTTACTATTTTAAATGGAACACCTGCTATATTGCTTCATTTTTGAATTCTATACCAAATTCTAGAAACATTTTGTGTATAGTGTCCTATACCTATGTCTAACCGTTTTCGACATTTTTAATTTTTTATTCCAAAAATGACGTTTGCAAGATGTAAAATATCTGCCAATTTCTTCATTCGGAAGCGTTTATTGTTTCACTTGAGTAAGTTTTGTTGTAGACAAAGGACTCGAATAACGGATTTCGTAAGAAATTTCGATACATATTAATACAGGGTACGCGAAAATTTAGATTAAAAATAAAATTTAAAATATGCCAAAAAACTTTTTTTTTAAATGGATACTTCCTACTTTTATAATCTTGTCATATTTAGCATTAAAAATTAAGGACATTTTATATAAGATTGTATATGCCTAATATTTTTACTGTTTGAAATATTTCCTTTTAAACATTTGTCTCCTCGGACGCGTGTTTGGTTGTTGATTAATAATTCAAATATTTTTTGACAAGTTATGGATTTATTTATTTATTGTTTATAAAATTCATTTTTTCGCTTGCTTGCGTGTTATGTTTAACACAGAGGAAAAGATATGTTAGAAAGTTACATATCGGCTGGCTCTTAAGGAGACACCCAAAACAAAGGATTTATCAACACTTTGGAATATATGGAACCTAGAAAAAAGAAAAAGATAGCCGTTGTCTTATTTTGAATGAGGAAGAGCACCTTAATATTTTGTTGCCTTTTACAGAGACTCCTGAAGATGCCCGAAATGTGTTTTTAGATCTAGATATCAAAAGAACAGCACTGCGAACGTTCCTTCAAATTAACAACTAGAAGTCCTATAAATTCTGTCCAGTGCAGAAATTAGAGCAACGGGATAACAACATCAGGTTAGATTTTTGCAACAATCTTATGGAGAGATACTTTTCAGAAAATATATTTGATTTGCTAATATTATTTGGACAAATGACTAACATTTTTTGTTGGAAAAATACACATTACTGTAGCAATAAAAGGTCCAGCAATTTTTGATCAGAATTTAAATTCCCAAGGCTACTTAGAGCTTTTAAATATTACTCATCCCTTTGTTGAAAAGCAACAACGAATTTGAATTTGGCAGCAGGATGGTACTCCTTATCACAGTACTAAAGAAATTAGCACCTATATAAATGCACACTATAGAGAATGGATTGGGGAGAATGGTGGTTACGCTTGGCCTCCAGGGAGCCCCGACTTAACTTCCCTAGATTTTTTTTATGGGGTACACTTAAACATTCAGTTTACAAACACAAACCGTCAACGGATATTTAAATGGTATTGAATCTGTTAGAAACCCTTTATACTACTTGTATTGACCATAGGGGAGGATCCATTGAACAACTGTTACAATAATTATCCTTTGTAAGGTATTAATTTTTGATTGATCCTTCGTTAATAAAATATTCGCCAACGTTATCGCGTATCCTTGGTCTTATTATGTATATTTTTAATCTTATTTTTGGCGTACCATGTATCAATATATATCGAAAAAAAAAATACGTTATTAGAGTCCTTTATCTACAACAAAACTTACTCAAGTGAAAGAATAAAGGCTTCCTCCGAATGACGAAACTGGCAGATATTTTACGTCTTGCAAACGTCACTTTTGGTATAAAAAATTAAAAATGTCTAAGATGGTTTGACTTAGGTATAGGACATTATACAAAAATTATGTCTAGAATTTTGTATAGAATTCAAAAATGAAGTAATATACTATGTGTCCCATTTAAAATAAGAAAGTTGATATTCTCCCACGAAAAATTAAACATCCTGTATATACAAAATTAAAATAAATTAAAGATTCATAATATCTCAATTAACTTTTGCATTTAACTTTCAGCTCCATCCCCTACAGTTTCAGAGATATTGGGGTCTCCCAAGATAAACGACCCACCCTATACATGAAGAGTAGTACCTGGAATATTTATCTCTATATTAAATTTATGTTCTTGATATTATGTTACACGAATATTCCCACGATGACATTTTCTGAATATTAATAATTGTCTTATAGTTAGTCACTGTATATTCCCTGAAGATAAAATTTTATCTAGGACTTCCGTTGTTTTCTCGAAGTCATTAAGCTGAAATCGGTGGCACACAACTTGGCGGTTGTAGAACCATTTTATGTAAAATACATTCTATCGCCAAAAGAGAAGACACTTTCATTATTTCTTTTATTATATCGGTAACAGGTTGTCGGGGCATCAGTGGACTTGTTTGCAACATTCGCTTTTGCGTTTTTTTTTCATTTACCTCGATACTATTGTATCATTAAAGCACACTATGAAAATTTCAGGCATTCATCTTTCTCCGTTTTGAAGTCATTTAAGTGAGTTAAGTTTAAGTAAGGCATTAGAAAGTGTCGACGGATTAGTGACGTCATTTCCTGCATTGCTATAAGGCGCGTTCTTTATATTCTATAAACATTGTTGATTGTGTGTATATGATTTTATTTGTAATATTCTTGTTTAAGTGTTTTGGTAATGTATATAATTGAATTAGGATTTAGAAAGGCAGATCCCTCAAATTTACCAGAAGTTAATATTGTAATGGTAATGGACTATTTTAATCAAAATTAAGACTTAAATGCAATATTTACAATATTAGTGCCTGTGTGATGTATTATAAAAGAGTCAAAGTTATGGATTTAAAACTCGTTAATTGTTATAATATATAATATATATGCATTCCCCGTAACCCGTGTTAGTGAAAATCTCCGATATTTTATTTCATTATTTTAGAGAGCCTTTAACCTTCAGTACAAAAAAATTTCAATATCTATCTTGAAATTTATGATGTTCATAGCTAAATAACTTTTCTATCCCAAAAAAACGAATTAGAATCCTCATAAAAATATATAATTTTTAGGTTAATTAGGTAACTTAGATTTAGTGAGTTCATCACTATTCAATATGAAAGACTTAAGTTAAAATGATCTTCACAACAGCGTGCACGCGTTTTGTTTGACAGAACAAATATCCCAATGTCAAACTTTCGGAATGCAAGGTACGCTTGCTTACAGTTTTTCTGGAACATTGCTCGGAATAGTGGGGCAATAAGATAGCACACGATACCCCGTTTTCACGAGGTCGAAGCTGTGGTGTATTTTATTTAAGGGCTTTAACATTTTACAAAAACTTTGAAATTTTGAACAGTATATCGCATTTAAGATTTAAGGATAATGTTTTAGCTGTTTAGCTATTTGAATAAATACAGATTTGAAATTTTGCACTGTCATAGAGGTTGATGGTCACATTTTTTAAGACATTCAAATGAGATTCATAATTCATAAATAAAGTCTGTTAGCAAAGAGTAATTATTAATATATGAACAACATTGTAACTCTGTGTTAAAGTACACATCAGGCCCAAATGGCGATTCCCTGAGTAAGCCTGAGATAAAGGAGGGCTACAGAATTACCATCTACCTTCTAGTTCGTCTCCCAAAACCCGAGTGAACTATTAATTTATTAATAACAGGGACTTTTTTATCAACTTTATTTTTTATCACTCCCCAAAAATAAAAATCGAGTGGTGTAATATCAGCTCACAGGAACTTTTGGTTTAACCATTGAAAAACAATCCTCGAACTGCACATTGCACATTTAGAGGAACATTTTCCATAGTATCCCATAAATCACCATCGAAAAAGTTAACAATATAACCAGTTGTTTTACGATTCATTAAAAAAAAGGACGTATTATTTGGTCTATCAAAATCCAACACAAGATGTTGACTTTCAGAGAATGTTGACCTTTACAATATGTAAATTTTGTTTTGAAATTTGGTATGTGGGGTTAGAATAATGTGCACAACGTCAAGGCTGCATTTATTTAGATAGCGAGAATATAGCGTCTCTTTGTGTTCTACTTTCGTTTTCCAAAATTTTAAAACCATGCCCCTTCTGTAATTGATTTAGATGCGGATTTCACATCGGGTGGAAATTTTGAGTTTAACATCACTCACTCCTCTTCTTTCTCACCAACACCACATTATGTTAACTCCCCCTACCCCCGTTAAAGGTATGGAGGCTATTTCAAAGAATACCGTGAAATTACAAAGTAATGGAAGCAAATTTAAAATTAGGAGCAACAACAAAAAATCACGCAAACTAATTCAAACCTTACCTTGCGCAAATCATCCAGATGAGTAAAACGATAAATATAATGAGGATGACTGACGCAGCGATCCCACCCGCGATGTAAGCGAATTCCGATTTTTCGCTGCAGTGTTTTCCGGTAAAACTTCCTATACACCTGCAAGATGGCGATCCTGAAACGTCCTTGATGCATATGCCCTCGTTTTCGCAGTATCCTTCGCAAACGTCGGTGCATGTTTTCCCCGTTCCGTTGAATCCGGGCTTGCACTCGCACTTGAACTCACTGGTTTCCGGGATCAGAAGACAGTAGGAGTTGGGATCGCAGTGCATCTCTTGGCCTTTCATTTCGCATGGGTTGGTGCACTCCGATTTACTTTTCTGAAATTAATATTGATTGATCCTATACCCGTTATACGCCAGTGACATTTCCGAATCAATGCGTGACACAATTCACCTTTTCAGATGACACGGCTGTACTGGCTGTGGTCAAAAATTATGAAGACGCAGGGAGAAATCTGTAAATATCTGCTAATCAAGTTAACGGCAAAGCAAAACTTTGGCTAATTAAATTGAACGAAACCAAATCCTTTCATATCAACTTCACGTGGTCAATATAATCCCTATTAGTATAAATAATTCACGAATACTATATAATATTTGGGTATTAAGAAGAATTAAGGATTAACCATACCATCCTGTTAATTTACAATAAACTCTTGCTGTATAAACAGATTCCTAAACCCGTATGGACGTATGGCATTCAGCGCTTCCAGAAAAAAATATTAAGCAGCATTGTCAACACTTCCTGGTACTTTAGGACCTCCATTGGGAGTTAGAAATGGAAACTGTTAGCCAAAATATTAAAAAATTCGTCAAGAGTCACGAACAGCGACTTCTCCATCACGTCAATCTTCAGGTCATCCAACTTCTCGACAACACGATACTGCTTAGGAGACTCAAGAGAACCAAACCACATGAGTTAAGAATCAGTGCAAAAGCACATTAAAGTGCTATTAGTATACACGTAAATAAGTGTCTAAGCATAGTGTTATTATTGGTGTTTAGTTTTAGAAATAACTTAATTTGGGAAAAAAATTATTGATCAATTATTGATCAGATCGAAATTATTAGAAAAAAAAGTTACTGATGATGTACAGTGCGCACTATTAAAAAAATAATTTGGTAACCGATAAACTGTCATGACTTGCCTGGCCTATCACAAACGAAAGGCCTTTTGCTAAAACAACGATGAAAGAACGTTTATTTATATATAATTTTCTAAGTTAAGGAAAAATTTACTTGCAGTTAAAAAACTTAATTTGGTTAACATATCTGTTATGTTTAAGCAATGTCAAACCTCAGGATCTAGAAAAAACGATTTTAATGCTGGAAAAGATGAATAAATTATATTATATGATATGTCTATATATTATTACCTTTTTCTATTTTATCAAAAAATGTTTTCCAGTGCATAATGGTACAATAGATACTATTTTGTTTTGGTTTGGTCAGCTTTATTTTAATAGATAGTAAAAAAATGTTTGAATAGAGCTTAGCTATAAAAGGCCATATGTTTCTATGGTGTATTTACTAGGCGGTTTTAAGAGAAAATCCACTTTAAATGTTTTATTATTATTAAATTATTCAATAGTGGTTACGATTCCCTGGAAATCTGAAAATATTTTCCGCGTTATTCGTTTAGTGATGAAGATTACTAACTAATGAACACCAGAAACTAAAGGAACGGCTCTTGAAAAAGTGCAACCACCAGCAACATCCATTTTAAGCCGTTTCGGTTTTATTAATTTTGAATATGTTACATAAATGTTGGTACTTAAAGAAACCTTATTATCTCGTATAAAAACATTTAAAATGAACTTACCGAAGCTGTAGTTTTGGTGCTTGTGTTCGGAGGACAAGGAATACATGTGGTTTGCTGAGATTCTGGTTGATAGAATCCTCTCTTACAGGGGACGCAGTTATTCAAAGAACCATTTAAGTACGTTCCCGCAGAACACACCGGTAGTGAACACTCCTCAACCGTTATAGCTCCAGCCTTGGGCGTGGTTCGGCCCAATGGGCATGATATGCAAGCTGCTTGCACGCCCTGTGTTCTGAAAATATGCAAATTAAGTTGAAACAAGAGAAACAAACCGCCGTAGATTTAATTGATAAACTGCCCTTTTATTATACATTTTGTTTCATACCTGAAGAAGAATAATAACATAAAACAATGACGTCACTATTTATAGCTTTGCGAATTACTGCGGCTTTTGCAATATCGTCGCTGCGTAAAAGTTGAGAGATTTTAAATACGTCTCGATTCGGCGAAATTTGTTTTTTCATATTGTCCGCGAAAAAGCTACACCAATGTATTTTTTATTAAGAATGCAACGACATACAAGACATACAAAACAACATTTTACCAAATCCATTCAAGGAAGCTGGAATCTATACAACGAAAATTCTTGAAACTCTTGTCTTTCAGACATTATAATAAGTATCCCCCAATTGATATAAGCAATACTTCGCTTCGCAATAGGCATAACGTAGACAATTTAAGTTCTCGCCGCGATTGTCACTTGGCGGTATTCTTGTTCAAAATTCTTCATAATCATTGAACTTTGGTGTTTCTAGGGTTACCTCAAGAGTAGATCAAACCTTTTACTTTTCTACGCCGCGTACAAATATTTTAAAATTTTCTCCTTTCCATAGAATGTGCGATCTATGCAACTCGGCAAGTTTTTTTTGCTGTCCTTTTGATTTTTTTTTAATTTGTTACTTATGTCCCTGTTCTATAGTTGAGTTTATCCTCTTGAACGGTGTATCTAAATAAATAAATAAATAAGCATGATAGAGTTGAGAAAATGTCTAGGTCTGATTTTCTATTTCAATGTTAAAACATATGTTAGGGTGTAATGAGTGAATTTAAATATCTAAGAAAATTACTAGGGATTTCTGACCATGAATCCAAGTAACAAAAATATCATCGACGTAGCGTTTCCATAGCTTTGGTTTTAGGTCGTAGGTGTCGAGAGCTTTCTTCCAAACGCTTCCATAAACATATTCGCTAAAACGGGTGATAGTGGAGCTATTCCCGACGTTTGTTCAAAAATTTTATCGTTATAAGAAAAATATGTTCCAGACAAGCATTTTTCAATTAAGGTGAGAAGGTTTGGTTCCAGATTTTCGAACTTTAATAACAGGATGATTGGCAAAACGTTAGCTAGTTCGAATCAACAAAAACCGACGCAGAAGGAATATAGAAGTTTTATAAAAAGTATTACAGTATTCTGTGGATGTTTCTTTAAAAAGCTGTAATGTTACATTTTACGGTATAGTAACTCCCTTGAAGCTGGACGTATGAATTTACATAAATAAAAAATAAGTAAAGGCCTTTTAAGGCAGTGACGTGTTTATTTTGCTCTTAAAATGCACATAAAGACAAGAACCAAAAACATATTCAAGGTAATTAATGGTTTTTGACAAAGATTGACAATTAAAAAAAAATGGTAAGGATGTTTTAAAAATAAAGTCATGAAGGCAACTATTTATCAAATGTTTTTTTTACACCCAAGTTTGCTACGAACTGCTAATAAGTGACATCAGCGCCAATCACAGTATTTCTTTAAAAGTGCACTTAAGTATTTTATATGTGCAAATTGGGACAACGCTTATTTAAATGACGCATACAAGACGCCCTTTTTACCTGTAAGTTCCCCGTGGGCAAGGCTCGCATCTGCCATCCAATGCTAGTTGCATTCCGTTTCCGCACTCGTCCCTGCATTCTTTGATGGAAACCGCCTCTGTCGTCCTCGTCGTTTTACCCAGTCCGCAAATCTCGCACGAGAAAGATCCCTCGTTTGGCTGGTAAAAGCCGTGACCGCAACTTCTGCAGAGGCCAGCTTCATGATCGTAGTACTTCCCAGCAGGACAGCGTTCTAGAATAATACCAGAAATGAATCACACCTAATCATGAATGAATCTGCGAGTAATGAATCATGCTTAACGGAAACAAAAAAAAAAGCCCGGTAGAGGTACATCAGCGTGCCAGAAGAATAATGAGCTCAAAGCGGAGTTGCCGTTCCCACAAAAAAAAAAGAATAGACACAACCATCGGCGACAGAAGACTGCAAGTACAAATGAAACTAAAAGGTCCCTCCATGGTAATTATTGTTGCCTATTTACAATGAAGATGCTGATGTAGCATAAAATTATTATTCCCAATTGACAAAGTAATTAGAAAATATAGGAAACTGCGAGAAAATAGTTTTACTAAAAGACTTAAATGCAAGAACAGAGTGAAAAGTTAATGATGGCATATTGTGACCTAATATTGTGAGAACACGACAACTGATAAGGATGAAACACTAATAGAATTTTGTCCGCCAAATGACCTAAAAATCTTAAACATTCACAAATATACGTGCATTAGACTAAGCCTATGCCATGTGTTCAGTTTTGGTTATTTATTTTGTATATTGACACTAAATATTAATTCATTACCTGGGTTTTCTATATATTGATTTCTTTATGATTCGGGGTTAATCGAATACATTTATCAATTTTTATTTTAATTTAATTTTTTATATACTTTATGGTAAAAAACGCGTGTCATTTCACCGCGATAATATGAGCCCTCGGGTTTTGTTTGGCCGAATTACCGCGCATAGTTTTCGCGTGTTTGCGATTAGTAACCCCCACTACATTGCTGCAATGGACATGGTGTGGAGAAAGAAAATCCGAGAGGCCTCGGGGGTCTTACACTAGAGTGCACATAAGGTAGGCCGTTTATTTTATAATTCGAGGGTTTATCCGTAGTTTTGTTTTGTTTGTGATCAAATTTTAAATCAAGAATTTATTTCGATGAACTTGTATACTATTATTCCACACGCGGCTTCTAAAAGGAAGTCTAGGAAACATTGAGTCTCTTACATATGGTCTTCGAGCCCGGATTTTTAAAGAATCAGTAATTCAAAAATAAAATTATTTTGTCTTTTCTAAATTCATTTTCTAATACTAAATTGGTAAAAATAATTTTGATTTCATTCACTATAAAGGCGTTTAAATAAGACGACCTTGAATAAATTTGACGAAGTATCGGAAAACAGGTAAAGAATTTAAATCGTTTAGAGTTTTTTGCGGTCTTGATTTTGTGTACGATATTTTGATTGTTTTTTGTTATCAATTGTGGTTTTGGTGGATTTTACGAGGTTGTTCGCATATTTTAATATAATTGAATTTAATTTCTTCTTTCTTGCCATTTTTTTATGATATAGAAAATTTCTAAAAATATTTTTAAACCATGGCAGATTCAAAAGTAAATAGAAGAAGCGTTTTTATACAAAGATTGAAAGAAATCTACGATTTAGCTACTGCTGCTACACAGAACCCAGCTAAAATTAATGATTTTAAAATACGATATTCGGCGTTAGAATCAACATATAATGAGTTTGATAGGTTGCATTTGGACATAATTTCTGATAAAAGAGTAACGGATGTAATGCTTGAGCAGCAGGAGCTAATTCGAGCGGAAGTTGATGATCAATACTTTTCAATTAAAAGCATTTATAGTGAACTTTGTATAAAATCTGAAATATCCATGATGGTACCACCTTCGCCACCAGGCCAGAGCCATAATTTGCCGCCTTACCTAAATTTTAATCTTGCCCGTTTAGATATACCTGTTTTCTCAGGCAATTTAAAACAGTGACCGACATTTTTTGATTTATACAGGAGTTCGGTGCATAATATGAACTTTTCCGCTTCACAAAAATTTCAATTACTGCTTACTCTCGTAACCGGAGAACCGCTCAGTTTATTGAGAAATATTCCTATAACTGATGACAATTACGCAGTAGCCTACGATACTTTAATAAAAAGATACGACAATAAACGGCTTTTATCGACTCATTACTTCAATGAAATAATGAACATTTCCAAAATTTCAAATCCATCGAATCAAGCACTGCGTAATGTTGTTGATAAGTTTTGTGAAAATGTGGAGGCATTAAAATTATTGAACTTTCCTACTGCGGAATGGGATTTTTTGCTTTTTAATTTACTCTTAATGAAAATCGATTCTGATACCTTACAGCGATTTGAAATGGAGCACGCAAAATTTGATATACCCACTTTTGCGCAGTTGAAATTATTTCTGAATAACAGGTGTAAGGTTTTAGATACGTTGACCTATACTCAGGAAGAAAATAAATCAAAAAATGCCGGAACCATTTATAATAGTAAGTCTTTTGCCAGTAACCGTCAACATAAGTCAGGTTCTAGGAATAATGGTGATCACTCCAAAGCATTTTTTACTAATACTCCTTCTAATAACGTTCCTACATTGAATTGTGGTATCTGTAGGACCCAGCATTCCATTATAAACTGCTCCGTCTTTTTAAGTAAGACTCCTCATGAGCGCTATTTACTAGTTAAACGCAACCGTTTGTGTGTGAATTGTTTGAGTTCGTTTCACAAATTTTCGAAATGCAGTTCTAATAAGACCTGTTCTTCTTGTACGAAACGCCATCATTCTTTACTACATTTCTAGTCGGCACATGGTAATGAACGTAGTCCACCTAATGACGATGTTTTGCCCAGTGCTAATGACTCTTCCGTAGATCAACCACATTGTGGCACCACTTCCATAAATTCTAATAGTGCATTTACGCTCCTTGCGACTGCAAAAGTGGATTTTCTGGACAGCCAAGGTTATTCCCACACAGTTAGAGTACTACTGGACAGTGGAAGCCAAGGCAATTTTATATCCGAAAGATGCTTTAAGAAATTACGACTTTCCCGCTCTCGTTTGAACATTCCAATTAATGGGTTAGGTAATATGACATCTGTATCGTCGAATGGTGTTACTTGTTGTACGGTCCGCCCGGTGGGTAAGAACACACCTTCTTTTCCCATAGAATGTATCGTTTTACCGCAGATTTGCTCCTACATGCCTTCTGTATCTTTCAGTCGCGAGAACTGGTCACATATGGAGAATTTAGTCGTTTCTGATGACACCTACAATACTCCTGGACCTATAGATGCTCTCATCGGGTGCGAGTTATTCCCTTTAATTTTGTTGCCTGAGAAGGTGTGCGGTAAAGAGTTGGAACCTGTCGCATTCAATACATTATTTGGCTGGGTAGTGATGGGTAAAATTGATCGTATAAAAAGCAAGTCCTCATATTCCTGTTGCACACTATTGGAAGAAAACCGGGATATTAATAAAACTCTTCAAATGTTTTGGGAAATGGAGGAAGTTCCAAGTAGCAAGTCTTCATTAACCCTTGACGATCCCGCTGAAATTTCTTTTAACGAGACTCATTCTCGAACTCCTGAAGGACGTTTTATCGTTACTCTACCGTTTTCCAGTGGTGAGCCATTATTTTCTGACTCACGCTCCATAGCCCTAAAAAGGTTTTATAGCTTAGAGCGCCGTCTTCTTAAGGATCCTCCATTATTTGAGATATATTCCAAATTTATGAAGGAATACTTAGAGCTGGATCATATGGAACCCGTGTCTGCTCCTGTCTCTGACGTTGCCCAGCGCCACTTCTACATCCCTCACCATGGGGTTACTAATTCAAATAGTACGACTACTGCATTGCGCGTAGTCTTTGACGCATCTTGCAGTCCGCGGGATCGATCGTTGAATGACACTTTGTTGATTGGTCCCAAACTACAAAATGAAATTGTAAGTATTCTGTTAAGTTTTCGAAGGTTTCCTGTAGCATTTACTGCCGATATCACAATGATGTATCGACAAATACTTGTTAATGACAGCCACCAAGACTACCAACGTATTTTATGGAGATTCTCCCCTCGAGAACCTGTTCAAGATTTTCGCCTAAAAACCGTAACCTACGGATTAAATTCAGCTCCTTTCCTTGCTCTGAGATGTCTTTTACAATTAGCCACCGAGGGTAGAGATAGATTTCCTAGGGCCGCAGCAATTTTAGCGTCCCAAGTGTATGTTGATGATATATGTGTATCTTGTAAATCTTTAGAGGATGCTGTGGATATCAAACAACAACTTATTGCTCTATTGGATGAGGGTTGTTTTTTCCTTAGAAAATGGTCTAGCAATTGTGTTGACTTCTTAGCTACTATACCTTCAGATATTCTACAGAAACCTCTCGCACTTGACACTAAATCCGATCCTTACTTGAAGGTTTTGGGTCTCAGATGGTCTCCAGAGAAGGATATCTTCTCATACGACATACAATTTCTCAACTCGACATGTACTAAGAGATCTATACTTTCTGAAATTTCCAGAATTTTTGATCCAATTGGATTACTTTGTCCCATAACTCTATTAGTTAAGCAGCTAATGCAATCTTTATGGGCGAGAGGTATCGACTGGGACAGTGAAGTGCCCGCAGATATTGCCCAAAGGTGGACCGACTACAAAAATGAATTGCCAAGTCTGTCAGCATTAGAAATACCCCGTTATTGTTTTATTTCAAAGTATGTTAGTTTAGAATTCCATGCTTTTGGGGATGCTTCAGAGCTAGGTTATGGAAGTTGTATCTATTCTCGCCTCGTGTCTCCAGATGGCCAAATTTCTACTTATCTCCTCTATGCTAAGAGTAAAGTATCTCCATTGAAGAGATTGAGTCTTCCTAAATTGGAATTAAGTGCTGCATTAATGGCTTCCAAATTGCTTAAATATGCCTTAAATGTCTACAACATTCCCGACGTACAAAATATTTATGCTTGGTCTGACTCGACTATAGTCCTAGGTTGGATAAGGTCACCGCCCTGTCGTTGGCGCACTTTCGTCTCAAACAGGGTGAGTCAGATTCAAGACAATGTAGCACCTGAACGTTGGTTTCACATCAAATCAGAAGACAATCCAGCTGACCTTGCGAGTCGCCCTGTCCTTCCGTCTGATTTAGTTGACTGTCCCTTATGGTGGGCGGGACCAGCTTGGTTGTCG